GGAGACATTGAGAAAGGTCTGGAGATGAAGAAACTGGTTCTGTCTGGTTTTCTGGCCAGCGAGGAGATCTATATTAACCAACTGGAGGCGTTGCTGCTGGTGAGCACTATACTGCCTCAGATAACGTCATTCACACTTTACCAGAAACCTGCTGTGGGAACATTACAGCCCTGTGTGTGGGACTTTGTTACTGTGTGGAGAGTTTCGTAGCTCAGTACCAGTAGATTCTACTCTGAGAGAAAAAAATCTGTTAATTAGCTCATGATTCACTGGTGTTTTCTGTTTATTTACGCAAGCAGATTGCATTATAAGATATGCTTTGACCATGTGTGTTGTCGAAAAAGTTTTACTTTTACAGTAGGAAATTAATAAAAGCCTTGACCCACACAGACAATAGGTATACAGGCGTAGTAAGAATTATTAGTCCTCCTGAATTATTAGCCACCCCTATATTTGTCCCCAATTTCTGTTTAACAGAAAGAAATTTTTTCTTTTTTTTATCTAAACATAATAGTTTTGGACATACTCACACTAGGTACAGTTGCCTTGAACCATGCCGAAGTGTTCTTGTCCCTCCTCCACTTTCCCCCCACGGCCCGCACTCGCTTCGCATTTTACCTCCCAAGCCAGAGCACTTGTAGGTAATTGATGATGCGACTGTTTAGTTTAACAGGAAGAGAAGCGCTCTCGCTCAGCAGAGTGGACATTTCTTTAGTTATATCATTTTGTATTAGTTTTAGTTGTTTGGGATGCAGTGACACGCAGTCAAATATTTTGCGGAACAGATCCACCACTTTTAACTCTCATAAATGATCATAAAAATCTTCAAACTGCACCATCAGGAAGTTTGCTGAAGGCATTTAGGAAAGTCATTGTATAATGATTATTTGTTCTGTAGACATTTGAGAAATATATTATTTATATTGCTTAAGAGGACTAATAATATTGACCTTAAGATGTTTTTTTTTTTTAAATGTAAAAAATTTAACACAAATTAATATTTGCATATTATATATATGCAAAAAAATGTATATATATATATATATATATATATATATATATATATATATATATATATATATATATATATATATATATATATATATGCTTTAAAATATGCTAATAAGCATGTGACATCATGTGGCGATGTTAAGTTATTGACATTTCTTCAGTGGCTTTAAAGGGCCATGAAACCCCCTCGTTTCAGCAGGGTGTTTTCACACCTCTACTTTGGAAAAAGCCAGAAAAGTGGGCGTGTCCAGCTCTGTTTAGGGGGGAGTGTCGGAGGAAGAAAAGAGGCACAGTGTGGGAGTGTCTATTTGGGCACGCGACTGTGTTAACATGGGCATCTGTAGTCTAATTATTTGCCAAATTATTAAATGGTGGACTTTAACTGTCTTTCATTCAGAGAATTCATTCATGTCCCTCGCGACAAACAAAATATTTGATTCGAGGAATTGCTCTAAGCGTGTATTTTTCATGCAATGTTTGATACCGCATGGCGAAGGAGAGAAAAAAAACTCAGCATTTCCCGGAAACTTAGATGCACTCGGCAGGTAGCGTCAGAAAGCCGCGTGTGTTATTCTGGTCACAAAATGCGGTAAAAATCCTACACGAGGTTAAAGTTTGGTTGTAGTGCTAACATGTTTACACTCTGTGCAATAGTTTGTTCGATACGAACAAACTGAATAAACAAAGAGCGCTGTTCGCTCACTTACCAAATCTGTAGAGACAGGACAATCACCAGCAACTAGAGCCGCGTCTTTATTAAGAGGAGAGTACAAGCGAATCCGGATCTCAGCGTTTGCAGATGAGAAAAGCTCTCAGGTAAACAATAATCCTCCTTAGACACGTAAGTTATTGTTGTCGTGCGTCGCGTACACTGTAATCCACACGTGAGTCTGAGCTCTCACAGAGAATAAATGAAAACAAAACTTAACTGCAGCAAACTATAAAAGCAACACTACATGCTTGTTTTGCCAACACAACAAGGCGTCTCTGTCGTCTAAACACTGTGACAGTAATGAATATTAATGAAGTTGCACAATAGAGCGCGCTGATTGGTTTGAACCAAGCTTTACTCATACATTAATGCATCACACTGTAAGACGTAATAAGACACACTCTGGTACAGATGTCCAGTCTGCACGCTGGAATACACGCTATTATGTCATAGCCGTGACGCAGCTTCAAAAATTAATTTCAAACCGGAAATACGAATTTGCTTGAAATAACGCAAAAGCAACCAATTTACACTTTTTAGTGAAATATAGGTGTCTTAATAGTGTTTTTAGCAGTGTGGGACACATATACGACTGTCAACAGCTCAAAAAATGTGTTTTGGTGTTTCGTGACTATTGAATGTTTTTAATAGGCTTTTGGGAGCACTGTTTTGCTTAAAAAAAGGCTAAATTTGGCCATGCAAAGACTACTGAAGATCCAGTTGTCAGCAGATGTGTGAGAGGATTATCAGTAAATTATGAGTTTGATATGAGTTAAACCAAACTAATAATAGCGGTCCATCAGGGTAAACCCAGCATTTGGGTTTTTGTTAGATTGAGCTCTTATTTCGAAATAGATTTATATTTCATTAGGGCAAAGGAGAGCTTTGAGTGTGCTAAAATAAGCATGCATTCACTTAGCCAATCAGGAAGCAGCGTTTCCTATTTTTAGAAAAAATCTAAAATCTCTTGTCGGCCAGTACTTTGTTCCGCTGCTATTTTAAACGTGTCATTTCCTGTCAATCATATTTTTTAATCCTCCGTTCATTCAGTCCAGTAGTGCATCCACTTATTTTCGTCAGTGCTATATCTTTTTTTCTAATCAGTCTAATGGGAGTTGGATCAGCAGCGGCTTTCTAGATTGTTCATTGAGATTGATAAGCAAGGACACAGAACATAAATGAAAGCCCTGTGATGAACAAGAGCTTCGTTTCCCCAGCCTTTTTAAAGAAGCAAACTAGTAATCAGCACGCGTGCACACTAACCCTGAAATACACTCTGGAAACTTTTTTTAATGTGTGTTATGTATGCTTTACACACACTGTAGTGCTGCTCGATTTTGGTAAAAATCATAATCACGATTGTTTTGGTCATAATTGTAATCACGGTTATTCAAAACGATTATCGGTTGAAGTCATAATTATTCAACTGCGCCACTGCGCGATGCAACTGACTCTTAAAGGGAATGTGAGATGAGACTCTTGATTGGTTGATTGCACGTTATGCTCAAAACACACCCAGAACTCATTAAGAGAATAAGCACAACTCTGTTAGACCATATGTCGGGGTGCAGAGCGTATTTGACCGTCCTTAACATAGCAAAAGTGGATCCGGACATGCCCTTAATGCTTTTGGGCCATGTGCTTTAGACTCTGCGCCTAGATCATTAAAATAGAGCCCTGAGTGTTTGGAGCACTCCTCCTTTCATCCTTTCACTCACAAGAAGTGGATAGCTGGAGCGGCGTGGCTAAGCATGTTTTCGCTCAAGCCTTCAAGCTGACATCATCAGAGTAGGACAGCTGTTCCAGAGCGAAAGCAAATGGCCAGATTTTGATTAAAGATTACCCAAAATACAACTTTTCTCAGTGGATTAACTTGCATGGATAATTTTTTCACCTTAAGGCTAACAATGTGCGCTTGCAGAAGAGACATTGTAATTTTTTGACTTAGATATCTCTTGTCTTATAGTATAGACCTTTTTCTTGGCTGCTGCACGGAGAGCGCCATAGCAACCAGCTAATAAACAACTAGCGTCTTTCGGTACTAATGCTAGGAAGTTCCGTTTAAAGTTTTCACAACTGGTAATTTGCTCTCTGAAAATGGGTTTCAATAGCGTTTTGAGTGGATTATGAAGTGTTTTTGTAACACACAACTTTGAAAAGTGTGTTAAAGCCGTTAATCTGTCAGATGTGGTCTCCTATTCACGTGTCTGCCGCTAAAACTGCTGTGTGAGCGTGTGTGCGTGCATGCGTGCCCGACCTGTCAGCTGTTAGATCAGCGGCTCTTCAACACACACAATATTTCACTGCATTATTGTGTGTGTTTGTGTTCCCGACCTGTCAGCTATTAGTTCAGCGGCTCTTCAACACACACACGCAATACTTCACTGCATTATAGAGCAAACCAGATTACTGGCTTGAAACAGGCATGTAAGTCATGCAGTTTACAAAAATGACCAATAAAAGTCTGTAATTGATACTCTGCTGGCTGATTTACTGTTCATTCTAATCGCGAGCCATTTAAGTTTCATTTCGTGTGTTGTATTTACCACGGTTTGTGTTTTTCTGTCATTTCAAAATGTCACTTTAGTTTCACTTTAGGACACTTCTTAAATCAGTTTGTCAGTGGGACAGTACAGGCTACGTGTGTGTGTCAAACATTTTTGTGAATTACATTTGTTTGTGCTGGTTATATATTTGAAAGAAATTGAAAATGTTGACTTTAGCGATGACGAGGCTTCATTAAAACGGCAGAAGATGCTGTCTGACAACGAGGGGAAAATGCCTCGCAGCAGCTGTTTTCCATCCCATTAGATCACATTTTTTTTAATGATCAGTCCAGCAGGGGGTGCTGATCGACAGCAGTATTAGTTCAAAGATGATAAAAGCAAGTGAAATAGATTAAAACTATCGTTTCAAAGCTGTCCAAATGTGACTGTTTACACGCATCAGCTGCCGACCGGAAGTTCTTAGCATTCTCCTTGCGCATACACGTAAAGCATAAGGGTTATTTTGCATTCTAAGAAAAAGGTCTAAATAAAGGAAAACTTTTGCTAAGTTAGTCAAAGCAGACCAGGATTTTGGTTTTTATGTGTACTTCTGCTCTCTCCTACACACTTCCTGTCCAAACATTACTCAGCAGTTTGGATCCACAAGCAAAATCGCTACAAATACTGTGGCAGAGCAGTCATATAAATGAGCCAGCACACAATCACTCGCCTTCTTTAATTATTTCTTGAAGAGATGATTTCTGTCATGCTGATGTCAGATCTCTGGCACAGCTGATAAGATTGTGAGTATCCAGTAATCTTTTTTTTTTTTTTTAACAAATACTGTACTTATACTAAATGCACTTTCCAGAATTAATTTTTACGCTTCCGTTCTAAATTTAAATGTGGTTAAATGTTTCTTGCTATTAATATTTTCTATATTTAGAAATAAGTATGGTAATATTAATGGAATAAATTGTGCATTTATTGCTTTGTCGTTTCTCAAATCATAATGTATACAACATAGTCATACTTCTTTTCTTTTAAAGACAAAATCATTTATTCATTTGCTTTGCATTTTTTCAGTCTTAAACCGCAGTACCTACAAAATGAATAGTGTTTAAAATAAAAATAAAATAGTGTATTATTTAAAAGTCTCATTTTCAAAGCTTTTTATGTTTTATCATGAATATTATGAATAGGAATTAATTGTGATAATCTGCTCTGTGTTCAATTTGAAGTTTATTCCTTTTAAGTGATGAACCAAAATATGTCTGTACATCTCAGCACCAAATACTACATCTATCTTCGGGAGATTTAAAAATAATACTTTTAGCTTGTTTTAAGCTCTTCAGATGCTCAATTCATAAATACATTATGCATTTTTGAAGCTCACAAGATTTATGACAACCATTTAAATAGCTTTATAAATAAAAAGAAACTTTTTGAATGTTTATTTATTTATTTATTTATTTTTGTTTGGTGCATAAAACCGATTGAAGTTGTTATAACACAAAGTTGTACATTTTTAATAAAGATTTTAAGTCCACAGTTTAGCCTAATAAGCCTAATTTAAATTGATTATTTTATATAATACTACTATACTATAGTAAGACTGATGTTTTGTGCTCACATTTGTGGTCATCATTTATTCACCCTCATAAGTCTTTTGGTAAAGCTTGGAAAACAGAAGATTTTTTTACAAAAAACAAACAAACAAACAAACAAATGATTTCCGCATCTCTAATTGAATCTTTTCACCCAAACGTTTTGAGTTTCAGAATCATCAGAAAATCTAAATGAACAAAAATCTGACTAATCATCTTTATTTCAAGCAAATTAATGTGTACAATTGGGCAAAAATCCCTAATGCACTTCTCTTAAGGCTGGTTTATACTTCTGCCTTGCTGTTTGTGTTGCTCTGCAATAGAAGTTCCGAAAGGCTAGCTACCTTACTATACAAGTCGCTAAAACTTGCTCATTCAGAGGTGGGAACCGGCAGATGTGCACCAACTTTATTTACAAGATAAACACAAAACAAAAGTTTCCATCGAAAGTTCCTTCACTGGACTCGACACTTGCTCCATCGGGCTTGCGAGTCTCGGCCCAGCACACACTTGTCACAGCTGCCAAGCCGACCAAGGAATTTCTCACAGTATTTCCTATAATATTTTTTTTTCTTGAGAAAGTCTTATTTGTTTTATTTTGGCTACAATAAAAGCAGTTTTAAATTTTTTTATAACCATTAAGCACTCTTAAGCAATATATATTAAGCAATATATTGTCTTCCAAAAAAATACATTGTTATACAATGACTTGCCTAATTACCCAAACTTGCCTAGTTAACCTAAATAACCTAGTTAAGGCTTAAAAGTGGAAAATAAACAGGTGGGTTAATAATTCTGATTTCAACTGTGTGTATTTCTGGCAATGTATTTGCTGATTCATCGTTACGTCTTATAATTATAAATGTAGGTAGTGATCATGTTGACTAATCAACTTCTCCCTCATTTTCTCTCATAGCCCATGAAACCTCTTAAAGCGACAGCTACAACTTCGAAGCCAGTGCTGACAGTGGAACAGATCGACACCATTTTCTTCATGATCCAAGACATCTTTGAGATCCATAAGGAGTTTTATGATGCTCTTTCTCCCCACATTCAGCAGTGGGATGAGAAGGTCACTGTGGGGCATCTCTTCCAGAAACTGGTAAGTTCACTGGTGAAAAATGCCTTCGATGTTCATTCAAAATCATACAGTGATTCATACTGTATGTGCTGTACAATGTCATTCAGTTTTTGTGTTGTTTGTGGCATTTATTATTATTGTTATTTAAGATTTATTACTTTTTTATCAACTATGCGTCACATTGATCTTGATCAGGGGTCTCAAACTGCCGGCAATATTGCAACAGAAACCAAACTGTTAAACAAATGTTAGTTAAATGTCCTATTTTGAATGTTATCAAACAACAGTTTTTATCTGGGGAGACATTCAATAATTTTTTTTAATGTTAATCCAACATTGTACAATGTTTATCAAAAGTAAACCCTAAAAAATGTTTTAGATTTTGGTCTTGTTAATTATTATTTTCATTTATTATCAATTTCGATTATCGAATCAAAAAATAGAATCGTCGATGCTGCCACGCCCCCATGTCAGCTTGGCTTGCCAAGCGGGAAAAAACAGGCTTGTTGAAGTGCTTGTTAAACTGCAGAAGCAGGAGACCCGTCGACAGAACTTAAACCCTCTCCTCTTTCAATGAAGTCGCCGGTGTGTAAGCATTTTGGATTTCCAGTGAGTTATGTTGACAACGTTCGTGTTGTAGACAAAAAAAAAACACAGTTTTGCAAGCTCTGCTATGTACGTATTACGTACGGTTCGTCCGATAGACAACACCGGCATCGCGATCTTTCGCCCGCCCCCGTTACAAATCCGCTCGCGAAAAGTACACACTCAGGCCCTGTTTACACTATCTTTGTTTTTAAATGGCATTTTAGAACGACAACGATTTGACATCCACAGTGGCGTGTAGCATTTCTGAGCAGCCCTCCTTCCTCACTACCGCTGAAAATGCACATCACGTGACCACACAGACACAGACGCACATACAGCCTTGCGCTCGAGACAGCAGGTCCAGGCAGGCAGAGGACTGCTTCAATCTTTCACTCACTTGTACTTAGTCATTTTAGCGAACACCTCAGATACTGTAGGCTGGTTCCTATTGGTTGTGCGTCTTTTTTACTGACGCCATTATAACGACACAGATCACTGCCTATTCACAAGTCCCGCAGAAAAAGTGATTGACAGGTGGTAATTATGTGTGTATCTTGCCTTTATTAATTTACTGTATGATTTGTTTATGGGTAAAACAAAGACCATGCAGGTCAGGTAGTTTAAACGGTAGGCTACAAATAATTAATTGGTCATTAATTAATTATTCATAATCGAAAATCGATTCGAATCGTGCCCTTAGAATTGAAAATGTAATCGAATCGAGGATTTGGTGGATCGTGACACCCTTATCATTTATGTATTTTACCTTATGAGTTATTTATTGCTGTTGATGACTTTTAACTGTTAATTTTTTATATAATCGTCGAAAAGTGATATCTATAAAATGTGGTAAACTTGACATATACAGAGAAGCTGTTATGGCAATAATCTCAAAACTCAAAAATATAGTGAAGTTCAGCAAACCAAAATGTATATTTTTGAATCATTACCAGTCGCATATAGCCATTAGTGGTTTTGACCTGCACTATATATTCAGCTTAGTTTTACTTTCAGTTTCTCTCAGCCTGTGGTCAAGAGTAACGCACATTCAGGTTGTTTCTGAAGCTGATTTAAATGTTAAAATACACATTCGTAATAGGTTTGGGCTGATAGAAGATGTCATCGTCCATCGCCGATGGGCAATCAACAACACTATGCTGAGCCAGCATCGCCGATCCTCTACCCCGTCCCCGTCGCAAACCCGCTCGTGAAAATTACACACTCAGGCCCCATTTATACTAATACGTCTTAAAACGAAAACGAAAATGATCCACATCTACACCGTGTTTTACCTAACATTTCAGAACAGCCCTCTGTCCACTGAAAATGCACATCACGTGACCACACACACACAGCCACACAGTGTCATGCGCTCCTCTGTGCTCCAGAGAGCAGTGCACGTCGGAGAGTTTATCAAGGATGTACCGCTGGATCGCGTCTCACTACAGTTGTTAAACATGATATTCAGACATCCCAAGTGTCCCAGAAGTTCCAGGAGTCTTTATGCTTTTGCGGAACTCATAATGCCCGCAAATGAGTGATAATCTCCCGAAAATCGAACGTCTCCCTGCCGGTCCTTAAATAAGTTGTACACCCTTCTCACCCCGGATCCCTCCTCGCTCTTCAGATCCCCCCACCCCCCTTATCACATAATGACGATGCCATCATCCATTGGGATGTTTCACATTTGACATTGTACGATACCAAATTGGTCAACATCGCCCAACCCTAATTCCTAATTGCTCTATTTTTTACTAAAGCTCCATTTTTGTGAATATTCAAGAATCATTTGATCATTAACAGTTTTATATCACTTGTATTTTGTTTTGGTAATATTGCTTTATTTTGTATTTTTCTTTTGTTAACTGCTTATGCAACTGCAAAAAAAACATTCTGGTAGAATTAGTTTATTTAAAGGTGCAGTAGGTGATCTGCCTTAATGCTATCTGGTTAGTATAATATCTTTCAAATACAATCCCTTTGCTGTCCAAAGCCACGTCTCCTGAAATCACGCAAACACGCACATTGAAGATGACAGTGACCCACTAGATCATGTCATTCGCCAGTTAGAAAACTTTACAGTTCTTTACAATACTACAATTCCCAATGAAAAAACTGTATTATATTTAACACATTTTCAGTAGTTAGCAAGCAAAATCTGTCATAATGTGCAATATTTCATGCATGGAAGGATCGCTAGTCTCACTTGGTCTCATGCATTGTTCTAAATCAACTACTGTATGCTTATTGGTTGGCCGGCGGCATGCATGAATTACACTTAATACTATGCCATACTTACATGCTATTTCAGAGCCAATATTCAGTAGCATGGTAAACAACACAGGGATCGCGTCACAGGCTGCCATTGTTCAAAAATAAACCAATATGAATATAAAACCTATGAACTTGACCTCAGTAAAGCAGGCTAGGCAGAATAGCGCTATTTACTGATGTTTTGTTGTTAAACTAAATAAAAATCTACATTATCGATGCTGTAAAAGGACCTTTTGACACTGAAAATAGTCACATCAATTGTTCACTGGAAGATCTCAGTGACTGAACAAAACTTCTGTGCATGTAAGCCATTCGTAATGACAAAATCTAATCTTTTAAAACAGAACATTACCTGTCTAACAGAAACACTTCAGCCATAATGTCATCCTTCCTCCAGCGTGCAAAAGTATCTCCAATATTGATTCAGGATTTGAAAAAGTTTTGATTAAGCATTTGATTTTACCACTGTCACTCGTGCCCACGTGAACGCACATCGGCGGATTTGTGTGAACACAGGGACAATATTTAATTGAACGAACATTTTTTTGTTGTATGCCTTACCCAGAATATAAAAACACATATGAACACATTTAGATCATTTACTTTAATCATTACTATTATGATGTGAGGGGAATTTCAACCAGCACAACAAATGTTTCTGAAAACAATCACCTACTGCACCTTTACTGCATTACAGTAAAGATCTACTGTGTCAAATTTTTCAGCATACAGTATTGATTGGAAGCACTTTTTGTAACCTTAGGGTGCTTTCACACCTACACTTTTGTTTCGGAACGTGTCTCGTTTGCCCAGTTAGCGCGGTACGTTTGGCATATGTGAACAGGGCAATCGCGCTCTGTTCCGCGCCAAAGTAATCGCTCCGAGATCGCTTGAATGAGGTGGTCTCGGCTAGATTGAAACGAACCCTGGAGCGGTTCGATTGCAGTGAGAAAGCGATCCGATCCGAGCGCGGTTATATCACACTGTTTTATGGATTTGTAATTGGCTTACGGCTATATAAAGAGAAAATTATGAGTATGGCGGGAAGTTTCGCGATTCTCCGGATGCCCGCAAAAGGGTGATGATCTCCCGGTAATCTCGCGTCTCCCTCCCGGTCCTCAAATAGGCATCGTCGCGCACCCTTCTCACCCCTCCCCACCGCATCTCTCCTCAGACACGTCGCGCGCGCGCACCCTGTCAATCACCACCAAACCACCACCTCTCCTGACAGCTGAGCGGGACGCTGCAAAATAAACCCTGACACTCTGACCAATGTAAGGAGAGTTTACTCACACGTGACTTGTTTTAGCTCTTTTGGTCCGATTAGAAACTTTGCAGTGTGAAAGCGAACCGCTCCAAGAGCAAAGAGCAACAATGTAACAATTTTAATCTCTGTTTCGGAACAACTGAATCGATTCACAGGTGTGAAAGCACCCTTAATGTACCTACAGTAAGCAGAGTAGATGTTGATTTGACAGATGGAATAAATACATCTTGCTTTGAGAGACTGAGCAGAAGGTTTGAAGAGTGTCTGTTTATATTGAAAGAAAGCGTTTAGCAGAGAGGAGATGCCAGGAGAATATGAAAGCTCTGTTCAGGTCTTGAGTGTGTTTACATGACACTCGAGAAGCAGATGCTCTGTGATGGCCATAATGCTGTCTAGATAGATAGCTGTGTGCGTTGTGAATCTCATTAACAGATTTTAGATGGAGTGCACTGCCATCAAGGAAAAGATAAAAGAAATAAGGTATTAGAAATTAGTTATTAAAACTGTTTTGTATAAAAATGTATTTTGAAAAAAGCCTTCTCTGTTAAACAGCACTGGGAAACTCTTTTAAAAAGAATAAAAATCTCAAGTGAGGGCAAATAATTTTGACTTTAACTATATATATATATATATATATATATATATATATATATATATATATATATATATATATATATATATATATATATATATATATATATATATATATAGTCAGTGACTACATTTACATGGACACCAATAGTTTGATTTTAATGCGATTAAGACAATACTCCGATTAAGAGTTGACCATGTAAAAAGTATTTTTTTGAATAATTTACAAAGATTAAGGTCATAATCGAACTAAAGAGAAATTGAATCAATATGTGTGGAGTATGCCGATTTTAGTCACATT